TTCCCTATAATTATTACAAAAACACAAATTAAGTATAAATAAGTATTTATATTTGTGTACAAGCTGTTTAGATTGTCAAAAAGCCTGTGTTTTTAAGGCTTTTAACAAAGTTCGTGTACTCAGACCAGTAATACTTGGGGTCACAAGTTTTTGCCATGTTTATTTTGTGGGTCAGAAGACAAAAAGTTTGGGAACCACTGATGTAGGTGTTTAGGGTGCCAGGCTTATTCGTGTAACAATTTTAAAAGGCGCATGTAAAAATATAATATTTCGAGGTCAGAAAGTATAACAGTTTAGGTTTTTAGGCTTTTATTGTGAAACTGCCTCATCTTGCACTGGCTATCAGTACTGTGGTGACACGCACATCAAATCATATGTTCTTCTTTGTTTCAAATAAACAATGTAGCTCATTGCAGGTGGTGTTCGAGGGGTTTTTTGACCATCCAACCAGAGGACACATCAGAATAGACAACATCCACATGAGCAACAGCGTGGAGCTGGAGCAGTGCGCACGTAAGTTCCACACTCACCTGCTATGTTTTTGTGTTTATTGGACTCCAGATCAGAGAGGGTAAAGGGGGAAAAAACACACTAAAATTTTCTCATTTATACTCATCAAAAAAAGAAGAAGACAGGAGAAGAAAAGAAAGTAGGGCACAAACAACCTGTAGGCACGGATTTTAATCTATCTTTCATTAAAGCTCCCTCAGTCTTTTCCTGCACCGACCCATCCTGCTGTTTCTTCATTCCTCTCGTTCCTCCTCACCCTTATTGTCTCCCTCTGCATCCAACTTTTAATATCATCTTCCCCAAAGTCTCAGACAATCGAGCAGTAACAATGATTCCTGGAGAGCACCGCTTTGTTGGCTTTAAAATGCCTCCGAGGTTACAGAAAATAAACACGATGACCGTTAAAACCCACTGACTTCTGCTGCATTACTGGGAATATTACCTACAAATAAATCATACATTCACATAAATTCATGAGCTCAGATATTAAAGTCAATTTACAGTTTAAAGGATCTGAGGGGATGCTTTAATAAAATGTTTTTATGTATCAGAAGCTGTTTTTGGATTTGATAGAGATATTTCCAGTTTTAGTGTTCCTGTTTTTGTTCAGGATTCAGTTTTTTTCCCACCAGTTGTATGAAAGTTTTACTTGTGTAATCACTTGTGTTTCCCCTTTTTTTTGTGTGTTAAATTTATACAAAAACAGCAGCAGTTTTACCGTTCCCATGACCTTTTAATTTACCTCCTTTGCATCCTATTTCTTCATTTCCCTTTGTTGCACATCTCGTGACTTTTCCATCCAGCATGTTTGACACTAAAATCCTGTTTATCAATCAAGAGAAAGAAGATAAGATCAGTATAAAAAAGCAAGGAAACAAACATAAATACAGAAAATAAATAAATAATAAGCGAGGAAAATAAAGCCTCTCTGTTCATGATTTTGTGAAGCAACAGCAGCAAAGTTATGAATATTTATTATATCTTAGAGCATGGCAAACTTGTATTGATTTTTATTTTTAACTAACAAGTGATGCAAACCCCCCAAAAAAATCAGTTTTTAATTTATTAAGAACCTAAATATGAAATGTAACCCAACCAAAAGATTATTTAGGAACATTTATTTCATAGCTTTAAGATATACTGAATAAAATGAAAACAAAAACCATTTTATCGAAGCACAGACACGATTATCGCTTCCAGTAATTTTTCTTTTTCTCCTTCTCTCTTCAGAGCCTCTGCCAGCTTTAACCTCAGGCATTCCCAGTAAGTTTGACCTCATGTGCATTTTGTTCACTGTTTGTCGATCTGTCTGCTTCCTGCTTGTTGCTAAGCTCAGCCTCATGCATTTTTCTGGCTCTGAGTAAACCTATTAGTACATAAGACATGGTTTCATACATTTCTCTAAAGGACAACTAAATCCACAGAAACTCCAAATGATTCATGTTTTAATAGGAGGAATTTATGAAGTACATAGGAGCAGTAAGTGTCTTACCTACGGTAGACAGCCATCTGTGTGATATCAGTTTGGATTTTCATGTAATAAAGTTTGGCTAGAAGCTACGCCAAATAGGAACAATGGGTCTCATGCAAGAACCGTTCGTACRCACAGGTTTGTTCTTAAATATTGCGTACGAGTGATTTAGGAGAATTTGTGGCATTCACCAATGTTTTCGTATTCTAAGATTTTTTTCAGATACGAACAAAATTCACGAGTGGTCCAGACCCGTCGTATATTTTACCAGCAGCCAGAGGGGGTGTACGGTGCACAGCACTGTGTCTTCTGAATAAAGGAAAATGATTTAACAC